ATTCCCATAACACCAGGGTTTTTTGATATTTAACTTACTACCGGTTCGTTTAGAAATAGAAAAAAGCGGAGCCGTTATTTATTGTGTCATATTTTAACAAATTACCCGATGAGTTCAAACAAGATAGTTCCAAAATGTTTTTAAAAATAAAATTCAATGATTTTACGCTTCCCAGTATTGTTTTGATTTCGATTATTACGCTAAATTTAAGCATTTAGGCAAGATAAGCTCATGGCTTCAATTTTTTGCAACGTCAGCAATGACGTTGCTTCTAGCACTGAATCTACTCTGACAGTTAAAACGGCTAATATTGTTATAGTTTATTCTACTGATTGAGTAGAATAAATAATAATAAATATTGAGTAGAATACATTCTCTATCGATTAGTTCGATCGAAAAATTAACTTTTCTTAGTTCTTCATTTGCTGGGGCGACGAAATTACCCATTGCCCATTGAGACTACAAAACATTTGACCATTGATCCTAATGAAATTCTCTACAAAATTAAAATACATCATGCAAACATTTAAGGAAGAATGTTGGATATCGAATCTTGTACCTGCATCCTGCATAATAAACTCTGACGGGCCATATGCGGCCAGCGGGCATCAGTTTGCCGAGAATTGAATTAGAGAATTTTCAGTCTTCTTTGAAGCAGTGTTGCCAACTTTTTTCTCGGCCCGAATACCAGATTGCCTAGCTCAAAATAACAGAAATTCTATTGTTCAAAAACAGACTAATACCTCCAAATTTGATGAAAATATTGTTCAAAAACGTTGGTTAGACAAGAAAAGTAATTTTCCATCTTACTTACTGTGCATTTATATGGCTTGTCGAATAATTAGCCAAATTGAACACGTATTTTTTCCCTCTTTTTGAAACATATTGACACTTTTCATTTCCTGTGGTTCATTACATTGAGTGATTGAAACATTTTCCTTTTATATTAGTGTGACATTTCTTCCCATTCACTAAAGATGAGCAAGCCATGGAAATAGGTCATCTTCCTCTTCCTTATTTTCGTACATGCTTGTACTGCATATATCTAACATTTCGGGTGTTATCACAAAATTGTGGCATCACTTGTTGCGGCTGAGCAGATAACTTTTGGTCCGAATAACGAACTCCAGTACCTTAGTTGAAATTCTGTTTCGTTGCTTGTTTTTCACGTAGGTTACTTGTGAAAACACTAGCTCCACGAATTCATTGGAGATAGGGTAAAAGTAGACAATTGATCAGCCTGTTCCATCAATGGATGATGACTTTCGAGATCAGTGAAATATTGAATTACACCCCAAAATTCAATTGACACTTCAATAAGTGGCACTCCAGAATTCAAAAACAACCAAGCAAGAACAGTGGAGCTTGTGTTGCAAAGATCAGTTCGACAACCTCACTCGTCAAAGGTCATATCATCACTGAACAGTAGTCAATCAAGAATGGTTAGTCTCATGCACTACACATTTTTGTTAAATGTTAACAATTAGATTGAGATTATTTCATAAGCGAAATTTTACAGCAAGTTCGAAAATACCAGAAAAATACCAGATTTAGGCAAATATATCTGATTTAATATATTCGTACCAGACACCGTCTGAAAATACCAGTTTTGTGAAATCTGGGATGTAAATATACCAGTTGGCAACGCTGCTCTGAAGACGAAATGAAATGCTGATGTCACTTGAAGAGTTCTTCCATGACTTCTCCAGCCTGCAGGAATATCAGGCAAAACATATATCTCCAGGTATCTCGCTTGTAACCATTGACAGACGCACAAAACATGAGGGGTTTCTGAGACGTCTGTCAGGGTTCTGGTCAATGCAAGTTTCCTTCTATACAGAATATAGGTCAAGTAATTCAAATCTTCTCAAATTATTGTTATGTCAATTTTTACATTAGATTCTTCGCAATCAAGGTTAATATTTGCGTCGCATAGAATACAAAACTAACGTGCAGTTGGATTTGATTCCGAGTCTGTGAAAAAAATTTGTTCCAGAATTTATCCGATAAAGAATTGATTAATATGAGATTTGATAGCAGATTTTCATAAGATACTTTCCATATTGATCAAATTGATTTTGGAGTTTGCGTGAGATCGAGAATCAAATTCCTCTTGTCAACCCAAAGACGAATTATGTATATCACCTTTTTTACAACTTTACCACAAAGGCCTTCAAAAGTCCCGGGTGTTTCAAATCATATTGTAATAAGTATGTTGGTTTTAAATTCACCGATCTATTTACGAGCACTTTATTCGCAAATCTTATCCAAATATTGACGAAGCCGGCGATTCAATATCCAATAGTTTCATACTGAAGGCAAAAAGGATCCGATGCCGAAAGAACGCCATTTGTTTGTCAGAAATGACAGACAAATGGCCGAAATTAGCGTGGAACGATAGATATATGTATTAAATAGATATATTAACTTAATCTGTTATATCTGTTTCTAGAGTTTAATTAACAAGTTTGTTGAAAATCCTGGAACCTTTTTCCTTGCGAATGTGTAATAATTTTCATGAATACTTTTCATCAAATACGGAAAGAAAAAAAAAGACTCGTCATTGCAAGTAGTTGAATCAACCTAGGTCATATCGCCCCCTTTGTGAACTACACAGTAAATGCTGGAATTACGCCAATGTTAAATTTGCTAGGACTATTTCTTGATAAGATGAAAATTAAATTTGCTCGCTTTATTTTTCCTGTTTTAAATTGAGTATTTCTTCACGAAATATTTTATATATATGTACTTGGTAACCTCTTGGGAGTTGGAAGCTTTGACGTTCTGTAACATGGGGAGACCATTTTACATTGACGGCTAAAAATGAACTTCCGATACAGCCGAGCCTAAAATGCACCTCCGCAATGTTAAACTCTCTAAGGTTTATAAGTCAAAATTTACCAATATCCTTTTGTAACAGGTTATTATTTTGTAAGGAACTCTTCATTTGAATGTTCGGTATACCCCACGCACTCGGTCTCAAATTGTTTATAGTGTGTTGAGTAGAGAACCATCAAAACTTTATATTCAAGATCCATTGATACAAAGAAGACATATTTTAGATAAAAAATAAGAATTCAATAAAAAATTATTAAAAGGGCATGCAAATTGATTAGTTTTCAAATTTTCGCTAAAATGACACAAATTTTAACCAGTTTCACTCTGAGGAATTTAACTGGTAAAAACAGTATTTTACCCACTTGGAAGAAGTATACTCGAGCAATTGTTGCGTTTGCACTCGAGATCCCCATCTAGCTTCAATAACGTTGCAAAAAAATGAAAATATAATTCGAAGCAATCGGTTATGTAAGCCACATAATGGATTTTACGGTGCAGAAATTAATCATGGCACCGAAGAGAAAAATTTACAGAGCCTTTCATTTTTACCTCTCGCACGCATCGATGTGATGCAAAACGGTAAAACATTTTTGTCGCGCTTAAGATGACACTTAGTGTATTTGAGTTTACTTTTTTGTAAAAACGACTTGTATTGGGCTATAGTTGTGATAATATCGTTCCAAATGTTTGCGCAGTGTGTAGGTTCAACTACGAGAGAAACTTTCAGACGGCTTAATTATAGCATAGATTGTGTTACAAAAAAATTCCGTTGCAACCTGCATCAAATTTAATCTATTTCATTTAACACGCTGTTCATGAAATATCAACAGAATTTGAGAATTTACAGCAGGTAACAAAAATTTTAAACTATGAAAAAAACTAAATTTTAACCTTTTTAAATTTAAAATTTTAAACTATGCTATTTCACATGAATAAGAAGATCAATATAGATCAGGTCTATACAATTTGCATCCGCTCCAGAAATCTATATTACTCAAATTCGGTTGGATCGGATAGTATAATCTTTAGACTAAATACCGTAGGTTTAAAACCATGTCGTGTAGAAATCGTGTAATTGCCCATTTTATGGAATCGGCAGCCAGTTTGCTGATTCTGTAGAATCAGCATTTCTATACTATAGGAATATGGGGTTAGGCCAGTCAGCGGGGTTCATTTTTTGCGCATTTTCTCATTTATGGAAGGCGCCATTGTGCTCGCCATGTCCGTACGTCCGTCCGTCTGTCAGTCCGTGACTTCACGTTTTCGTCGATTTTGAGAAAATGCGCTCTCTGTCACTCACTGCTGTGGGTACTGTGTTTTATTTTTTTACACATTTAAATATAAAAGAACTTGGCCGAACTTGACCTAATCATTTCTAACTGTCTAACATTTCAAATTAGCTGTCGGTAAAGTGGATGCCGATTTCATAGAATCGGCAATTCCGTGATTTCGGCACGGCATATATAAGCCTATTTTTGCAGAACTTAAACGGCAGACGTTAGTCAATCATTTGACCTAAATATAAACGGAAAATAGTAATTTTTGGATCTGCATTCGGCTTGAAATGTAGTTTTCCCAAGCTTATTGCTTTATTTGATTGATGAATTAGAGACCTTTGTACATTTTATGGACCATCACAGAAATTGCATGGAAGTGGGCAAGATGGCCAGATGTATAATATGCAGTAAGAGATATTAACGCAACCATGCCATGCACGTTCCATTAAAGTCTATGAGCCGTCACTAACGCATATTCAGTTATTTGATGCCGATAAAGGCAAAATACATCAACAGATTGATAAAAAAAATGTTTGCAAAAACACTACCAGGAAAAACGGGCCTAAATTTTAGGATAAAATTTTATAAAATGTAAAATATTTCAATTTCAATTGCTTAACATAGAAGCATCGAACGTACGATTGGAGCTACCTTATCAATCGAAATGAGTTTCAGAATTGCGAATTATTGCTCGAGATCAAAGCTCAAATAATGATAAACTCTTTTTATACACATACGTAATTTCATATGTTATAGTAGATCTGCCACAGTTTAAAGCATGAGAAGTGCATTATCCCATGTAGTTCACAGAATCATGAATGGTTAAAAAATCACAGTGGCGCTTATCAAACGGGTATCAGTCTTCGATTGTGAATGAAACAAAAGTAGAACTTGCAAGTTTATTTTTCAACACTCAAAGAAAACTGTTAATATTCAACACTGTAAACCAAATTATTTCCTGTTGCCAACACAGCTCTGTCAGTCGAAGAAACGTTATCAGCTGAAAGAGAAATATTGTAAAAATAAATAAATGATAATGTAACGAATATTATCACACTATTATTGAGAACATTTTATTTGGTGAAAAGGAATATTTGTTGACTGTCTCACTGTGAAAAAAAAACATCAGGCTGAAAATATACGAAAAATGTAAAAGATTGAAGTTACTCGGAATTTAAATACTTGATTTCGGTTAACATCGAATTTTTAATGCTTTTAAACATTTCAATCTACATAGTGGATTACTAGAGAATAAGGAAAGTTGAAATCAGAGAGCGGAATGTTTCAAATAAAGAGAAGGATGTGCTGTGTAAAAGATAGCCTGGAAAAGACTTATAACTAATCGAGGACTAGCAAAAAACTATAGGAGAGTGGGAGGTGGGAATGGCAATACGAGTTGCTGCTATGTGTGCCCATGAGCCCAACTTGCTCTCCTTCTTGAAAAATTCCGGCAATGTGCAGGAAACTTGATATAATACAAGAGACTATATTATACATCACACACACGGAACCGAATCAATGGTAAAAGCATGGCATATTTCCGAGAAACGATAAGAAAATTAAACTGGCTCGTTATTTTCAAATCGTACCGGCAGTTGGGAATGGCCTCGGTGGTGAAAATGGCTTTGTAGCCTTTATGTTGGGGATCGCCATCGTAGAAGTGGAAGATGAGTTCCGACTTGTCACTCTTGAACACTGTTCCGTTTTTAATTTCTTCGCCACAAAATCTGAAATCATCATGGATTAAAAACAATACTCTATCCGCTAAAACAATTACTTCTAATTAAGCGAGGCGTAATTTGATGGAATTTTTCACACTTTCACATTTTGAATTTTACGTACATTTCACCATTCACAACAGAAACGTCAGTGCGGATTTCCAGATAAGCATCCTTGCAGTTCTTCTCCGTGCTGCGAGGATCAATCTGGAAGTCGCTGAAGGTGGCCACCGCTTTGTGGCACTCAGGAGCTTGCATTACGTGCGTGTACTTCAGCGCTGCAGGAAAATTCAATAACATATGAATAAATATTCATGTTTTGTACATTATGCACACGATTGAAGTAAAATTTATGTAGGAGCAGCATGCTTCAGCAATCTTCCAAGATGTCGTCGGTATACGTCAGTTTTTTAGAGGTGGCCATTAGCGAGGAGGGATATAAACTGATAGAAAGTCCAACATACACCAGACAATATTGAGCAACCTCTGATCATATGACGGAATGAATGGTCTCATTTGTAGGATGCGGTGCAAATAAAATGATTTTATAACTTCTAACTTGCTCTTGGCGTACGACTCACATATCTTTGTTATGAAACCAATGACATCTTCATTATGGAGGACCTGTGCGAATTTACTGCCTTGAGCTGATGTGTTCAAAATCAGCCCAGAACTTACACTTAACACCAAGGAATTGCGAGGTTTTTGAACGAATTACAGGGAAATCAATCATCACTTTCCAGCTAGAACGAAAAAAGAATTATTAGTTTATTTAGGGCTGGAAAATAGAAAGCCATTTTGATGAAATTACATGCAATCTGAAATTGGCAAAGCTTATTCGCAACGACGGAAATACAAGGTTCTTCTTACTTTATCCAACCGAACGATACAACACTATTAACCAAATTTTAAACACGAATGAAATTCACATTTAAGCCATTATCAACGACATAAATCATCAATATAATTATGATTATCATAGCATTATTCAGTTACACAGTGAATTAATGCGGCCGACTATGACAACGCTAAGTAATTAAAGACTCTTACTTCCCAATCCTTTTTGTTTAGGGTAGCCAGGCGAGACAACTTCTGCTCCTGAGGTCTTGATGATCGCGGTATTCGGGGAGAACTTTTGCACCAGAGCATCTATGTTGAAAAATTAACTTTAAACATTGAAAATATTCAAACATGTGACATTAAATAGTATACAGTTTAATGTTGCACAGTTCGAGTCGAGTTGTGTACGGAGCTTACTCAGGATCTAATTACCTTGTCAAGTTTGGATCCTATTTAACAGATTCAACCAAATATCTCATCGGATCAAAATTCACTAAGAGTAGAGTGAGGTAAATGTTCTTTCGGTCGCTCGATCGTTGTAATTTTTAGATAAACAACAGAAAGTATAATGAACAAGTCAATGATGCTTGCAGAGCAGTTGGCATAAAAAATCATTTATTTCGCTTAAAAATGTCAAAAATCAGAAAATAAATGCCTTTGGCGGAAAATATGAATTCGCATTGCAATTGCCCGCTTATCTATTAATGTACCTGATCGAAATGAGTATGAAGCCAGCCACAGTAGACAGTAACTTTTTTGACAGATAAATGGGCAATTTGTATGCAATATTGCAAGCAGCAGAGCTTGTAGGTAAAATTAACAATTTTCTGAGACCACATCATGGCTGAAACTTTCAGACGATTTTGTCGAACATCTTACAGATTATATAAGTATACCTCATCGCTTCAGCTCTTATCGCAGAGTACTTACGCTTATAGGCATTCACTTTTAACAGTTTTCAGTGCTTATGAAGTTCTTTAAGGCTCTCGCGCTCACCATTGTAGTTCATGTCGAGATTCTCACACTTGTCACCAGACGTGCCAAGAGGACACGCGCAGCTGCAGTCCTTCTGCGTGTAGCCGCCGTTCTTGCAGGGATCTGACTCTTGCTTGCAGGCCTTCAACCAGTCGTCTTTAACAAGAGGATGAACATATAATAAATGTGGATGAACATATGACTGTGAAATTTATGAAAATGAATTAATACATGAAAACATTGCCGTATCCATGAAG